TCAATCAAAGGGTGCCAATGCTACAGGTAAAGTACGGCACTATCGCAGAAACCCAACTTCGCTGACCTGTTGACACAGACGTCTTCTGCCAGGACGACGAACGCAACGCCCATGACCTGGTCCTTGGGTAGAGTGCCCACGGCTTCCGGTATCCTGCCTTCTCCGTCCAAAGCCACGTCGTCACGTGTTAAGTTGGAGGATGACATAATTGAGCTGTCTGACTGAGGACTGTGGCTTGAATATATAAGTACGAAGTAGATACATGTGCGTGGTGTGGGAGAAACAGACATTTCGGCGACGGAGAGACGGAGAAATGGTCGCGGTGCGACGCATGAATTCGACGAGTGTCGCTGTGCTTTGCATGGCCTACGACCAACAGCCCAATGGACACGACGGTGATGGAGGCTTATCAAGCCGTCGCGCTGGGGAGCGGAATGATGGATCCAGGGGCTCAATTATCATGCGAATGTAGAGGGGGTGAAGAGATGAACCCGCGTCCCGCCGCCCCGCCGCCCGCACGTCGCGCGTCCCAGTGTCGACCTCGCCGCCCCCGCGTCCCTGCCGTCACCGCGTCCCCATCGCCCACGCTGCCCTGCGCTTAGACCACCATCGTCACAACACACAATGACCCAGGGTCCCCATACCGAAAGTATGCACGGCAAGTATTGGGCAGGAGTGAGTGGATTTTCTTGTTGAACCAACCATGTACTGAGATGCGTTTAGACGGGTCCAGAGCGGGCCTTCTTTGTGCGCGCTGGTGTCGTTCCTGGTGTGGTCCGTTGGGAAGACACACCCTTTCTCCAAAGCTTGAAGGCTGCTGGGGAGCAATTAGAGCACTGGATCCGAGGTAACTGGGAGGAAGTTAGCTTCGACGACCATATACCGTTGAGCGCTCTCACCTTCGCGATCCTCCTAAGGAAGAAAGAGTCAGGGCAGAGCAAGAACCTGGGAGCAGAGTTACTGAAGTGGGATGAATACCTGCTGAAGGGCGAAGACACTCTGCAGCTGGTATTCAACTTCGACCTAGAGCAGGGCTGCAACGGACTGATGGTGATCGCTTGGCTGAAGGTGCGTGCTCCCCTACTTCGAGAACCTGCAGGCTCTGAGGGGCTCTCAGGCCGATGAGTTCGCCCTTCCTTCGACGTTCTTCATCCAGAACGAAGGGAAGACATATGGAGAGCTCCTCCAGGCTTACAAGGGGGAGATGAAGAAGGGCCCTCACGACCCGTCGGAGATCTTAGACCTCGACTCTGGTAATATCTGGTACTGGAGCCACTACCGTTCCCGGTGGATCGCGAGGAAGAGCGATAAACCCATTCCTGCACAGAATGTGATCATGATCCGTTCTTTCCGTAACCGTTGGCCTCTGCACGCGTCGAAGATTATACACCTGTGGGAGACAAAGGGTCATGACCAGAAGATTTTCCACTCCGTACGTACCTTGCCTGGCCACCGCTCACTAGCTAATCAATATTTCAGAAGAGCTTTGACATGAATGTCGGTGAAAATAAGGTAAAGCGGAGTTTGTCCCTCGACGTGTTCTGTATTAAAATGCTCCTCAGGCCGGGCGCAAGCGTTCACGACGTACAGAACAAGCAGTGTAGGCCAGTACACAGTAGACATACATACCATGTCCGCATCTTTCTCGCCGTGTGCAAGTGCATCGGTGACCAGCAGGTATCGAGTCCGTCCCCGGCTGGATGTCGGAGGGTACCACATGAGGCCGACGCATCCAGGTGAAACGCGGACGCAAGGGCGGACGTGAGGAGTTCACAACGAATGCGAGCCCGACAGCATTGCTGTGCTAACCAAACGCGCTCTAGGAGAGCGCGCCGCCATCCGCACGTCTACTGCGCGGCACTGGGGGAGCGGACTGTGTGTGTGCGCGAATGTGAGAAGGGCTAGTTGGTGGCACACGTATCAACGGGCGACGCCTGCGAAGTGCATCTTGACGCGCCTTTTGGGTGACGGGATGAGATCAGCAGAAGAGATGTGTATGTCTCACTGGAAAGAGGAGGATTTCAGCTGTGAGTCCGGTCAATGTACCTCGCAGTGCCCGCTCTGAATGGGTGGTCTCCTCTCTCACAGTAACAGTGGGAGTGGACGTGCTTGAGGAGACGAAATATATTTGATGGGTGACATCCAAGTACTGTACATGACCGAACATGAACTAATACTACAGACTTTCAAGGCAAAAAAGATGGACGTGTGATTCAAAGCATTACGAAGAGTTAAGCTACGGTACGGTACGTTACGGGCTACTCGGCCTTCAAGCGGGCGCCTGCCACTGACGACGGCACATCAGGTCCCACTCCCAGTGCTTGAAACGCTTGGCTTCGAAATTGAAGCTTTTCACTATCCAACGCCCGATTCTGTAAAGTGTCTCGTCATCGGTCGCGCGCGCAGGGTGGCGATGTACTTACAGGTGAGAGTGGTGGGCACTAACGTTCCCTCTGCCGTCGTGAGGCTATGAAGCCGTGTCAGCCGTGCGCGCGAGACCGAATGCGAAACGGAACGACATACCGCATGAAAAGATTCGACGTTGTCGTTCGCGGCGAGCACACGGCACCTACCCGCGCGGAATCGAACGATGATCGTGTTGTCCCGGCGAACCACCTCGGCACCGAGACCGTAATGCAGAGCCTGAAGGCGAAGGTGAGCGCGGCGTGAGAGATAATGAACGGAATGCTCACCTCCTCGATGCGTCCAAGCGTCAGCTTGGAGTGGCGTGTGTGGATCATATCCTCGAGGACCTGCGGAAAAGGTAAGCACGCGCGATCTGCACCAGAATGAACGCTCACTTCTCTGTGGTTGGGGTGCATCGCAGGCATGGTGACGAGAGCGAGAGAGAGAGCGAAGAGCGAAGAGCGAAGAGCGAAGAACGAAGAGCGAAGAGAGCGAAAGAGAGAACGAGCGAGGGAAGTGAGGAGACAGAGGAAGAACGCGAACTTGAGCGCCGCGCGCGAGCCAGCAAGCGCCGCGCGCGCAGGCGTAGCGGAGGCGCGAGAAAACCGGGGCGGGGAGCGGCCCGGGCGCTGGGCGTGCGCAAAGAACGCCGGAGTCCGAGAAACTCGGACTCGAGCTCAGGCCCCGAGGCGCGCCCAGGGCACAGCCACCCCGGGCGTGCCTCAAATGACGTCGGTGATGTCGCATGCTCAGATGTTGTAACCGGGGCCATAGCGAGGCGGCCCAATCCATGATGCATGATCTCTCTCCGTACACGACCGGTCCAAGCGGGCGCCTGATAGGGCTGACGAGAAGAGCGTCCGAATGGGAGGGCTCTGCGCCGCTCGTGAACCCGCTGTCTATGTCCAACCGAGAGCACTGTATCAATAGAAAACCAAGTACTTGTAGGGTTGTAGTGGGCTGATAGGAGACTCAACGGAGCGCAAGGAGATCTGCATGCGCCCATGCTCCACGCGCTCATGGGCCCCACACGCTGGTGTCGGTGTTCCAAGCGAACCACGGTTGCAACCGCGGTACCGTTGTATGGTTGCAACCATACCACGGTTGAAACCATACCACGGTTGACAACCATACAGCGGTTGCAACCGCGACATGGTTGCAACCGCGGTACCGTTGTATGGTTTCAACCGTGGTATGGTTTCAACCGTGGTATGGTTGCAACCGTGGTATGGTTGAAACCGTGGTATGGTTGCAACCATACAACGGTACCGCGGTTGCAACCATGTCGCGGTTGCAACCTCGGTACCGTTGAAGCACCGCTCGCCGTCGCCCGTACGTCTACCGCGCGGTGTTGCAACCGCTGTATGGTTGCAACCGCGGTACCGTTGTATGGTTGCAACCATACCACGGTTGCAACCGTAGTGAATCGCCCGCGCGACTCGAGGTCTGTCCGAGTGTCTTGAAGAGAGCGAAGTGAATGGGGTTCACCGGGACACGGGAGACTAGAACGCGAGCAAAGGGAAGAAAAATAGCGCGGGACTCGGGCGCCCAGCCTCGTCGACTCTGGCGCCCCGGAACGCGAAGATGGGATTTTGTTTTCCGACGGATGGGGCCGACGGATGGCTACATACGTAGATAGATACGAGAAAGGGAATACAAAGAAACAGATTCTGGGTGGGCACAGTGGAGGGTAGCTCGAAAATACTCGAATCGCGTCTGGCAGCAGCACGGAAAGGTGTCAGTACTGAGACAGGACGAGCGCGAGGGAACCAGGCCTGCTCACCTGGCAGCAGCAAGGAAAGGTTGGGCTAGCACGGAGCCGCCTCGCGCCCTTCGACGTCTGCCCGGTGAGAGGGGCTCGTGCCGCGTGTGCCGCAGGTGACCGTCAGGGGTCGTGGACCCGGGCTGTAGCGTGGGGCGGAGACACGTCGGAACGCGGGGAGCACCGTGTCATGGCGCGCGCGCGCCTCGGAGGCACACGGTGGTGCGCGCGCGCAAGGGTGCGCGGCGGCTAGGTGAGCATAGCGTGCTCTGAGGACGAAATGTCGCTGCGACGCGTTGGCCCGTGCTGGTCGAAAGCGGAGGTGAGCGGCGCCGTCGTCCGCGCTCGTCCGGTTGGGTACGGGCTGGTGCCGGGCCACTGCCCGCGCGATTCAACTGGTGTAAACCTCAGTTTAAACCACGAGTTAGCCACTCCTATCGAGCACAAGTGTGCCCTGCAACACCGATCACTGGTGCAGCCCGACATAAGCACCACGGACCCATGAAAGCCACGACTCGCGAGCCCTGTACAACGGGAGAAAGCGACGGGACAGCCAAAATATCATTACAAACCGTGAAGCAATAAGAAGAGTGATAGTCGTTATAAGGATACTTATACATAAGAGTCGTAAAGTTGGTGTCATAGTCTATGCACACGTATAAAGAAACAAGGACTCATGGTGTAGTGGTCGGGTGTACCGTCGGCGCTTTCGGAATGTGTGGTCGCTGGTTCGAATCTTGAGCGCAGCTACCATTTTGACTTCCAGAAAACAAGTTTCGGCTCCTTCAAATAGTTATCTATCTTTGGGGGTAGTGCTTCTACACTAGTATAGTTACAACCGTGGTACGGTTGCAACCGTACGCTGGTTGCAACCTTGGGCCTTACAGGGGTTTGGTTGCAACCCTGGCACTGAGATGTATGTTGTGACGAGATCGTCGCGGCCCTCGAGAAGGTCGCGGCCGGGGTACGCGGTCTTCAACTCGTGCTGGATGAGGACCTTGACATCGCGGTCCATCGATTCGCGAGACTGTTCGCTGAGATCAAGAGTATGGATCTCTTCCCTGGAGCCTACGCTTGACACGATGGTGTCTTCGATGACGTCCTCCGGACGCGAAGTGAGAAGGATTTTGACAGGGAAGGGGGCCTGCTTTGCGCAAGAAATGAGTAAATCCATCATCGTGCTGGGGAGCCTGCGATCGGTGGGTTCCACGCATTCATCCAGAGCGTCAACAACGATGATGAATGTAGGGTGTAGTGCATGGACGAAGGAAAAGGGTTCCTGGAGGAGATGGGTAGCTTCGTACTGAAGTTGCTGGTGCTGACCGTGTTCGAGGTGTTTGGGGATGGCGTCGACAATGAAATCCCTGATATCCCCTCGAGACTTCGCGACTTGATATGCGATTGTAGGGAAGAAGAGACGAGTAGTCGAGCGCTCAGCGTCGCCGGTGGCAAAGAAGAAAGATGCGCCCAGGGCAAGCAAGTCTTCGTCGAGGCGCCTGGCAAACTCGACTGCGATGGTGGATTTTCCCGCGCCAGCTACACCAGTGAGGATACAGACGTCACTCTTCCCGGTGATACTTGGATCCTTGCCTGAAGCCCATGCATTGAGGCTGGCGAAGAGGTCTTCGCGAGTGCCTGGCAAGAACTTGCTCTTCATATGGTTCCCCGCTGCTCTATATCCGGCCTACAGTAGTGATTCGCCAGGTGCATCCATTGTGACAGCCTATCAGCAGGTGCAGATGCATCTGGTGCCGGCCGGCCCGGTTGCGCTCGACACCGCCTTCCCCAAGCGCGCTCGCGCACCCTTGGGACAGCGTCGCACCCAGATGTCCGGACACCGGCGCCTCAGGCGCCGCCACCCGAGCTCGCTGTCTCCGACAGGGAGCTCGCCTCCCTCTTTGCTTCACACCACATCTTGTATATGATTAGTGATAAAAATATATTTATTAGTAAACTACTACATAAGTGTGCTAGTAAGTAATACCATGCCCCTCGGGACAAGGCGGAGGACGTGGGCGACGTGAACGCGGGAGACGCGGAGGCGGGCGACGCGAAGGCAAGCAATGCGGAGGAGAGGGATGCGGAGGGCTGGGACGAGGCGGAGTAGGTGGTGGGCGACGCGGGCGGGGGTGTGCGGTGCGAAGGGGGAGGAGGCGCAGAGCAACAAGGGCGGGCGACGCGAGCGGAGGAGACGACGCCGGCGGGGGAGGCGACGCCGGCGGAGGAGGTGACGTCGGCGGAGGCAGAGGAGGGCAGCGCGGGCGGAAGTGGACGAGCCGGAGGAGGCGGGCAACGCGGAGGAGGAGGAGGAGGAGGAGGAGCGCGGACGCGGGGGCCGGGACGAGGCGAAGGAGGGGGAGCCTAGCGAGGCGCATAGATGCGGGTGGCGGGACGCGGCGCGGACGCGGACGCGGGCGACATGGAGGTGGGTGATGACGCGGAGGTGGGCGACGCGCGTTGAGGAGGGCCGCGTGGAGGCGGGCGAGACGCGGAGGAGGGCGACATGGAGGTGCGGGAGGCGGAGGAGGGTGTGCGGGCGCAGGCGGGCAGCGCGAAGGTGGGCGGAGCGC